CCGCCCCCCCCCTGCCCCTTGTCTCCCCGCCCGCTGATGCCGGGTTCCCACAGTGCATCCAGTGTATGAGTTCTTCCTTTCCTTCTCCGTCACTGTCAGCAGCCGCCATGTGCGCTATCTCTAGCATGTCAAAATAAAGCAGACGCTGACCCAAGTGAGTAAAAACAGAAACGTGTGGCAAAAGTGGCGTCAGGATGAACAATATGGCAAAATAATCTAACTGAGCTTTTTGTATTTTTTTTTTAACCTAATATATATAACAGGCCAATTCGTGCAATGTGATTTATGACAGGTGAGGGACTCACTCTGGAGTCAGATGTAAAAATATGGACCCAAGATTACTCTCTATTTCAATGTTGACTTTAATGGAAACATTTGTTTTCAAAGCTTTTAATGATGCTTTGATCAATTCCACAATGGGACGACAAGAAAAACAAAATACTGTTTAAAATAAAGTCAAACTCACTGGATGATTTTCTCTTTTTTGAAATTAAAAAGAAATTTGGTCTTGTCTTTATATTGAATGTGGTATGAAAGCCCCAATTATAAATTTACCAACTTGTCTGGTGTCTCTAACAAAGCAATCTGTTTCAAAATCGGGAAAAAAAATTGAACAGTTTATGATTCCTGATATGAGTTATGCATCTGAAATTAGCTTCCAACATTACCTTTTATGTTAATGTCAACCTTAGATTCTAAAGTTAGCTTCCGATGTCTGCTCTTAACATTAGGACCCAAGAAAGCCATTGTTAGATTCTGATGTTAACTTAGAATTAGTCTTAGCTTCCAAACTTAGTGTACCACTCTCCTTTCTCCGGCATGAAAACCCAGAAGCTTTCCCTGCCTGTCAGACCTCTAGTGGAATCTTACATGCTACAGTTTACCGTCAAACCGGCCGAATATCGGCCAGTGGTCAAAGTTAGCCACTACTCCACTAACATGGCGCCTTAGAAGGAGTAGGGCGTTTAAGTTATTTGTTAAAACCTTCATGCCATATATCAACAATCGCGAGGAGCCTGGGTTTACTCTTAGAAAATCTCGTTTCATCACATGCCAATAATATCGCAATGATTCGGCCATCGAGAGTAAGAGAATGAAAGCAAGTCACTGACCACATGATCATGGACACCATGGTCATGATGATCTCGTTGAGGATGTTGAAGAAGTCGCACATGACTTTGCCGCGCTCGCCCATTCTGCCCATGCAGATACCAAAGGTGATGAAGAATCCGATCAACCCTGAAGCAACACACAGTAACCCAATCAATCAATTTAAAACTTATTATTACAAATAAAAATAATCAATGCCTTTGGAAGAGAGGCATTGGAAGAGACAAGGATTATTCCGAGAAACACTTTAGAAACTAAAGATCATATCAACAATTTTGTGTCCTGATTAAGCTGAACATAAATAAATCGAAAATCCAGTGAATAATGCTTTAAAAAAAAAAAAAAAAAAAAAACAAGATCCCACATTGAGGCCTGGTATTATACAGGGGACTTAATAACAAACGTGTGACATGTTCACATTTTTTTGACCAGTGAATCCCAACCAGTATGGTAGCAGGGCATTTAAAAACATTTTCACTTAATTGGTATGTTTTGAATCTTTATCCATTCATATTATTCATTCTGATCATAAAAGATACCAGGAAATCAGGAGACCGTATTACACAAAAGTAGCATTAAAAAAAAAAACAAAACAAAAAAAAAAAACAAACGTCTTTTTTTAGGGTAATTTTGGGGGTGCATTTGATACACGGGTATGTGTTATCTATGGGACTTTACCAGTATGGTAATATAATGGCAGAGGTGGTGGTGGTAGTGATGGTGGTAATATTAATAGCAGTGGTGGTAGCAACTGAAGTAATAGAATCAGTAATAGTTGCTATAGTGGTCGAAGTAGTAACTGTAGTAGTAGTCATAGAAGTGGTGCTGATAATGGTAAGGAGGTAGCGCTTGTGATAGCAGTAGCAGCAGAAGGGATACTGGTAGTCGTAGTAGTAGTAGTAGTAGTAGTAGTAGTACAAAATAGGAGTAGAAGTGGTATTGGTAGTTGTGCACTCACCAAGAACATTCATGCCCCATTTATATTCTAGTTTCTTTCTGCTGACTGTGATTGGTTCCGTTTGGTTTGTGGCCGCCATCGCTGCCTGTTTCAAGACGGTCTGGACCTTTAGTCACACAGGTTTGACTCAAGTTACAGTCAACATCACCAAAACGTGAAGAAACATACAAAGATTAGCCAAGTGACCTGCTGGAAGCACGCCTGCACCAAGTTCTCCGGGAAGAGGTTGCGGATGAGGTCAAGGAAGGCGTCCAGACTGCTGACTTCCTGGTTCTTCGGTGCAGAGGAGACAGTAGTGCCCCCCCTGAGCTTGGGGTTGCCGGGATGGATGCTGAGCACCAGGATGACGCCAAGGATGGCGGCGATGATGGTGGTGCTCATGTAGTACACCATGGCTCTGCTGCCCATCCTACCACTGGAGCGAGCGTCCAGACCGGCCAGACCTGAAACACATCTCATTATTTCCAATTTTTTTTCCTGCATGTAAAATCTGGAGGTGGCCGTCCCCGCCTCATTTTGGAAACTTATTATTGATATTATCAACTTCCCGCAGTACATCGCTAATTTCTAAGCAATTTTGAATGGAATTTACAATATACAGTCAAGTCTGAATTGCACGGTTTCAATATAGTACCACGTTTTGTCATGACGTTCAAGGCAGCAGTGAACTCTGCTGGAAGAGATCAATGTCATTCCCACAGAGGAGAGAGCCCTAAATGTATCGCTAGCCTCATAGCATAATTGCCGATGCCATTTTCACATTTCTGGTACAATATCATGGCATCCGAATGCTGCTACTTTTGCCTCAATTATGGCCATAAAAAACCCTGTATTATGATTTGGAGCATAACGCCAGCTGACCTGTGATGAGGCTGGAGATGATGAGGGGCAGGATGAGCATTTTGAGCATCCTCATGAGGATCTCTCCGGGGAAGGAGACCATTATGAGGGTCGAGCTGTCCGTCACCCTCATGTAGCGCAGCAGCATGCCCAAGACTGCTCCCATCACCACACCTGACAAAGCAATATACAATAACATTATTATTATCATTATCATTATATGATTTCAATCGTAATTAAGTCATTTTTTTAGTGCCCTTAATTAGCAATTGAACATTATTTCAGGACAATGTTGTGTTGTTGACATTGGTTGCAAGTTTGTGACCCCAATATAAACGTCTCAAACACAGTCTGAAAGATGAGTCAAGTTACGTCGCGATACACTGGCAGGAACAACTTCAAAATAAAATCGTGCGTAGGCATTGATGTCCATATATTATTTGGTAAGATAATGTATCTTTGAACCAAGGTACTCAAATTACTCAAGGACTCGTTTCAGTCCGACTTGAGTCCTCTGTCTATTTTCAAGTGACATATCAGGTGCACTGTGGCAGACTACGGCTTTGTTTGTCAACATCTCAGTGAGGTGCATCAATTCTCAATGTAAGCAGCAAGGTAAATGCTTAACATTCTGCCGTCGACGCATACATACCCATGACAGTGAGCCCCAGCAGGAGGTTGTGGGTGTTGCGGCTGCAGTGGCCAGCGTCTTTGAAGCCCACCTCGGTGCTGTCATCCTGCCGACTTTCATCTCCTGCCTTGGCTTTGGTGGCGTTGGACTGGTTGACTGCGGCCTGGTTTGTCATCCTGCCTGCAGACACAGAGGCAAGGGATAAATCTGAAGAGTACAGCCACATACGAGACATACTGTACCTTGGTATCGGTGAGTGGCAACCATCAAAAAAGTTGCCAAGTGGCTATATTGTACAGTGGACCTATATTTCCAGTTTCGTCTGAAATTATTGAATACATTTGGATATTTGCATGCTTACTGTGAAATGTTCTGTTTTGACTAACTGCTCGTTTGCAAAATATCGCAATATCATATCGCAACTTACTCCAAAATCCCTACCCCGAGTGCATATTCAGTAAGAGTGGGACAAAATATCAACATTGCGACATATCGTCATTATAAACAATCATTGATTCGGTTTTGTAGGCCAACATAAGATGTCAACATTGAGATTATTAAAAGCGGAGACCATTTTGACACATAATCAAATAAAAGCAATCAATCAATCAATAATCTGTAACATGAAATCACAACATGGTATTTCAAGTTCCTCCATTCAGTATCGATAAGCCAACGAGCACCTACACTCCATCTGCTTCCAAATTGAAGGCCTTCCTCAGCAACAGCCTACTAGTAGTCGAAAGGGGAAGGCCCACATTTTCCTCCAGCTTCAACAGTGGCACCCCACAGGTAAGCATCCCAAGTGCCCTATTACAGTGATTCCCAATCAGTGTTACTTATTTGGGTGAAAAACTATTTATTTACGCCATAAAAATATGTATATATATTTTTTCCAAACAACATGCACAAGCAGAAAGAGTAAATACTCTTCCAATGGATGACTATTCGGTGCATATTGTAAATATCCACTTTTTGAGAAATATTTTAGAAGTGGCGTGCTGTGAATTTTTTTCTCTCCCCATTTGAAACGTGTGCCTTGGTTCAATAAAGGCTGGGGAAACACTGTCCTATTTTACATTCTGAAGACATACGACATACATACATACACCATCCACAACTTGATCCTCTAAACCTACCACAAAAACTAAGAAATAAATAGCAGACTTGAGAATTCTTCGGGTACGGTCTTTCCAGTTTTTGAGCCTGAAGCTGTATGATATGAGCTCAACTGGATTAAGAGTGCAGCTACACCACTCCCTCAAAAGTATCCTGCAATATAATATCCTACCAAGGAGCTCCAGATGGTCACCAACAGCACACAAAAACGTTTTGGTTGTCCCCTCCTTGGAGAAGCTAACATAGAAAGCTGGTGGCACGCTGAATGAAAAATCCCACCCAGCAGGTCACCTGTTTAAAATGTGTCTAAGGGAGATGGAGCAAGATAATAATAATAATAATAAAGAATTAGCAAACTGTGAAAATGCAGTTTAAAAAAAAAAAAAAAAAAAAACACTGTTTGTATGCCCTGACAACCTGTGTAAATTACCAGCTTGGCAATCAATAACTAGGGAGTAAACACACAATATTTTAACTATGGCACATTCAAACAAAATGTAATTTCTGCACTGTACTTCTAAGGGTAGAAAAAACGTCCCCAATGCCCGTTTCACCAAAGGAGAAATATTTCGTGGACATATCTATCATGACAGGGCTTAATGAAAAAAAAGACTCAAGACTAACAGAATGCAGACGATTATAGATAATTTGCTTCCACAAAACAACTGTGGAATGACAAAAGCACAACATACAAATGTGCTAAAAGCAGTTCATTGTCACTCAATCTCCAGCTAAAAACATGATAATTGGAAAATTATGAAAAGTAATGGTGCTAAAAACACTTACATTTGCATTTGTTGATTTCAATTCTCATGCGTGCTTAGAAAAACAAAATGACTGTTTAAACACATTTTCCTGGAAAGAGTGAAACATTTTTTCTTCCCAATGGGTGAAGATAAGCGGTTCAAGTAATGGATGGATGTTGATTATCGCATCAGCGTGGTTTTTGTTATTGGTAGCAAAATATCGAAATCTCGCATTGTGTGTTGCCCCCGATTCTCGCCCCTACTATAGACAGCATCATACACAATAGAATTTGTCATCTGCAAGCATTTTTTTTTGTTATTTATCTTATTTGAATTCCCGTGGTTCAACGCAGGATTGTTACAGAACCCTCCCAACATTCTCACGGCCTCCAACACAACAAAAGCTCAGATTGGATGCGCGTCCCCTGTCTGTATTTCCGACTCCCACTACCTCATGTAAACACATCTGGAGAGCGGCGCCACCAGCCAAGTCTATGTCAGAGCGTCGACCGTCCCTCTATCCAAACAGATTATAATCCAGCAGACAGGACAATCACAGACACAAAATCAGCGTTACCTGTCCACCTCAAGTGCTCATTCTCCGACGCCCCCTCGTCGTGATGCCCGGAGACGGAGAACGTCCGGGCCAGATTGGACGACGGGCATGTAATCCTCCCGTAAAATGTGCGGTCAGGACAGGAGTAGGGGGGTTGGGGAGAGATTGGGGGTGCTCCACTGATGTAGTCTTCACAAATCCTCTTTTCGATCCTTATGTCATTTTTCGCCGTGATATTGTTTGCCGGAAACTGGGGTCATGAAGAGGTGGCACGGGAGAAAGATCAGACTTGATCATAGCGACTGTCTGTTTACCCATTTTTCCGTAAGAAACTCTGTGTGCGAACTCGATACAGAGGCGAAAATATTCGGTTCCGTGCTGCCCAGTAAACAGAGAGCGCATCGTCAGGTATTTTTACACATTATTAACTAACCAATTCCATGAAAACATCTTGAGAACAAATCAATGAGCTACCTTCAACACTCAATTGTCTGAAAAGTGTTGTAAAACTCTGCCCCTTCCCAAACTCTGCGGGAGCTGTGAGCATTATGCTTGCTCAAGACTGAAAGTCTTTTTTTTTTTTTTGACAAGTCAAAATGGTTTGGTTAGATACTGTACATCTTTCATTCATTCATTCATTTTCCGATCCGCCTTATCCTCACAAGGGTCGCGGGGGGTGCTGGAGTCTATCCCAGCCGTCTTTGGGCAGTAGGCGGGGGACACCCTGAACCGGTTGCCAGCCAATTGCAGGGCACACAGAGACGAACAACCATCCGCGCTTACACTCACACCTAGGGACAATTTACAGTGTTCAATCAGCCCGCTGTGCATGTTTTTGGAATGTGGGAGGAAACCGGAGTACCCCTGTGAGAACACGCAAACGCCACACAGGAAGGCCAGAGCCGGCATTGAACCCACGACCTCTGCACTGCGAGGTCGACGCACTAACCACTGGACCACCGGGGCCGCCCTGTACATCTGAATAAGCATTTTTGTTAAGTCACAAAGGTAAGTGCATGCAGGATTCTCTTTCTGTCTGTTAAACTGATTAGTCAGTAAAACCTGTGTTATTTATTGCATCTGGTTGAGGAGTCGACATGAGTGCAGACTTTTACACGGATGGCTGACGCTGGTGACGTGCCCTATACCATTTCAATCAATGAGAATATGATAAATTAGCGATTTTCTTGCATTTGAACATGATTTTGGGATGACTTCGTGCTGGTCGGTGATAGCAATGTGTGGTTTAAGACCAACTATAATGATTGGTGAGCTCAAACAAGATTTTAAAAATTTCCTGGTGATTTTAGAGCTGTAAAGGTTCCACTCGATAGTGCCAAAAAGTAAATTTCACAGTCATTGGACATATCTGGACAACATAAAACACATTTTGGGTGGGTTCCAACATGAGCTGCTAAACACCCTTAGATAAACGATGAAAAGTTGATCTCTTGTTGGAGATCCATTGTTTGACGTAATACGCGAATAATGTTTTTAATGTAAAAAAGAACATTTCCTCACCGTTCCAACACAAGTCAAAGCTTATCCTAATGTTGGATAACCAAAGGAGAATCAAGACAATGTAGAGGGTTTAGGTTTTGACGATTAATCTAAAAGGACATGTTTAAAGACATCAACCTGTTCAGCCAATCTTTTCGTTTCCCAAGAGGCAGACTATTTGCCGCCCCAGGAAATGTCAGAGCAGTTTCTAGGTGAAGCCAGAAAGGGTCCACCTATTTTATGTCATTTTTTTCCTGAAAAGTACTTAATTACACTTTATGGGACCACGGGAAACAGATGCTGATCGGAGGATGAGAGAGTAACAGGAGAACGAGGCAGAGCTCTGGGCTCGTTGACTCACGTTACAGCTTAGTACGGCTAGTAAAAAAACAGGAGCCGAGGCGGTCAGAGGGTTCAGAGCACCGCCGGACCGGGCAGCCTCCTGTAAATCCTGGATGTCAGCGCTGAGATTGAACAGG